CTGGGGATCTAAGGACTCATATATTATGGCTTTTGGGCCCAAAGGCCATACTATATAAGGCTTTTGTGCTATTTTGATCCCTAGGGTTGCTCGCTCTGAAAGCTGATTGTACCTCAGCCCTTTACAACGAAAGCCAAGCTGAGCAACCCTCCTTGATTTAGAATAGCCAAGTACACGACCCCAGGTTTAAGCCTCGACTTGGGGCTCCCAGCTCACTATCGGTGCTGAAGTATCAAATTAGTAGTTATAGTACAGCATAGAACCCCCCCCCCCTTCCTCCCGAAACTCAATCTACGCAACTGTTCAGGGCCCCGATATCATAGAAGAGTGACAGAGCCCATAAGCCTCGTGGTAGCCTGAGGGGGTATAGGGGTTTAGGGTGTATTATATACGGTTTAGGGAAATAAGCGGCCCCAAAGGGAACCTTACAGGGAAGCCTTCTAAGTATCCAGGTGCCTAGCTCAGGCTCTGTGGAAGTGTGCCTGACCAAAGAGTTTTAGGGTCTTTGTTGAGGGCTTGGGCCGCGGCTTGAGGCTTAATTCCGAAACCCGGACCCCTAAAGCTACCCTAAACCCTAAACCCTAAGTAGCCTGGTAACCTCACAGACCCGGACCTTCCCGCTTTTGACCTTGTTCAGCCAGACCTTAACCAGCCCTTACAATACCAAACTGCTTTTCCTTTAGAAGGGTCTGTATAAAGATATCAGAATCAGGAACCCTTTATAAGCCCGAAGCCCGAAGCCCTAAAAGCCCTAAACCCCTAAACCTCCAAACCCCTAAACCCCTAAACCCCTAAACCCCTAAGCGCCTAAGCGCCTAAACCCCTAAGCCCCTAAACCCCTAAACCCCTAAATCCATAAGCACTAAAGCGCTAAGCCCCTAAACACCTTATAGATCCCTTTAAGGACCCCTTTGAGGAACCCTCACAACCCTTATAGATCCCTCTAAGGCTTTTAAGGATCCCCTAAACCTGCAGGGTTTGGGCAAATTGCTGGCGCGGCGGGGCAGCTTTGCAGGTGCACGGCCAGCAGAGCATGTGTAGAGGGCGTTTAGGGTTTAGGGGTTTAGGGATTGTGGGGATTTTCAGAGGGTTTAGGGTTTAGGGTTTAGGGTAGGGTTTCGGGGTTTAGGGATTGTGGGGATTTTCAGTGCTTTTCGGGCTTGGCGTTTAGAGATTGGTTTTGCTAGTTCCAACTTCGGGCTTGGAGTTTGAATTTCTTTGACGAAGATTGTGGGCGTTCTCAAGTTGGTAGATTTTACTATCTTCTGCTATAAGATACCAAAATCTACCATACTATACGATTTACTTCGCTATATTATACGATAACTGCTATAACATAAAGAAGTTTGCTATAATATACGATATACTCGACTTTACGTACTACAACATACTATATACTGAACCCTAAGCCCTAACCCCTAAACCCTAAACCCCAAACCCCTAAACCCTATAAGCCCTAAACCCTAAACCCTAAACCCTAAACCCTAAACCCTAAATTAGATACTAGAATATGGCTAGGGCCAGAGCCGAGGGGCTTCCGGAGGACTCCCCTGGGCTCAGGACCTTTGAGTTTGAGCTTTAGGGTATATGGTTCAGGGTTTAGGGTTTAGGGTTTAGGGTTTAGGGTCTAGGGTTTAGGGTTTAGGGTCTAGGGTTTAGGGTCTAGGGTCTAGGGTTTCGGGTTTAGGGTTTAGGGGGCTGTGTTAATCTAGGGGCCTAGATGATTGCCAATGCTATTTTGGGGGTTCCTTAGTATAGCTATAGTGTTTGGTATTTTCGGGTTTGGGGTTCTGCGGTTGTAATGGTTGTGGCTAGCTAGACAGGGCTTTGTGCATGATGCAATCATGTCTGAACCCTGAACCCTCTGCGACTCAAACCCCACATCAAACCCTCAGCGCTGAGCCAGAAAGCCCAAAACCTAAACCTAAACCCTAAACCCCTAAACCTTAAACCCTCAACCCCTTGACCCTTCTTCGAGCATGCCTTTTTTTGCTCAGCGAATGCCCTCATTCATCTATTTTTTGTGGAGCCTCT